TTGTGTTCCAGTGATATATCAAAATACTTAAATGTGCCTCTTGAATAAAAGCTTTATAAACAATAACATACTCTGTTTGTTGTGTTTGTTTTAATACAGTAATTGACTGATTCAATGTATTTGATAGTTACAATTATTACAAATTCAGGTTTTTGTCACCTCCGTCAGTTCTGTCACCTCCGTCAGTTGAATATTTTGATAAAATTTCATTATGATATTTTATATTTGTTGTGGAATTGTTGGTCACATGTGAAAGTGTAATCTGTCTGCTAACACGAGCATGTGTTTTGAAATGTTGAAAACATCTTGAATGCTGTTATAGATAAAATTGAAATGATATTACACAGTCCAAGGTAAAAAAGCACATTTTGTTAAAAAAGAGAAAAGTTGGGAGGTTGTATCAAAGCATAGCTCAGTAGCTTAGTACATATAAGATACATAAATGTAGTTTCATTTGTCTGAGTACAAGGTTTTATTTTTTCAATTTTGCACCCTGTTTTGTCCCACTTCTCAAGAATGACTGAGTTGATGCAGTTTTTACTACCAGATTTTAAAGTACACTAGAATTAGTTTGGCTAAACGATTTTCTGTGTTTGTTTTTCTCTAGAAAATCTTAGTAGCAGTGACGGTCTTCGACTACGATAAGATCGGCAAAAACGATGCCATAGGGAAGATCTTCATTGGCAGCAAAGCCACAGGCACAGCGATCAAGCACTGGTCTGACATGTTGGCCAACCCGCGCCGCCCCATCGCCCAGTGGCATCCCCTCCAACCGGAGGAAGACATCGACGGTGCTCTGGCTGCCCTTAATGCCAAGAAGTAACTTCTCACATCTCAGCCTGATTAACCAACTAACTAACCAACCCACCACTGCATGACACCCCATACTCATCTGTATGTGCTCTGCCCGTTTGTTTCGCATAATCACCAACAAAAATATTCTAAAGAATATACTTGAAAAGATTAACAATATCACATGTTCGCCACATAGCATAAACCAAGGCAAATAACATTGTACACCTAAATAGCGAAAGCAAAACGACCGTAGGAGAAGTAGCCAGCAAGAGTGATATTTTACACGTTTTCTACTTTGCAGCCCAATTTGCCAGCCAACTACACAATACGCAAAATACAAAAATAGTAAAAGCCAACAATGAAAGTGCACAAAAAAATGAGCAAACAAACCTGAAGAGACCATTTTTGCAACTATTTGCCTACAACTAGTTAACTGGATTAAATATTACAAAAGGCTTTTATTTCATTCCATGAACAGGAAGTTGTTGTTGTTTGTCGGATATATTGGTGAGCTGGAATTTTGTTCCTAATCATAAGTGCAAATAAGGGTAAGTTTATGTTGCAAATGTCTACACATTTGCACAATTACAAAGCAATGATCACGTTCACTTAAACATCCCAGGAGAAGAAAGTGGTGGAGGGCAGATTTGTTTACATTGTCGATGGGTAAATTAGGCCTTTGGGCCATAAGACACGTCAAAACATATTGCATTTGCATATATGTGCCCAAAAGAAAGAGGATTCAGGTCTATGGTTTTGTAATAGTGCAGTTAGATAGGACTATATTAATAAATAGGCTAGTAATTCATGAAATGTTGCAATAAACATTCAACACGAATCAAGCGTGGTTTACAGTCAGTGTAAAGATATAGACACTCACAAACGGTCTCTTTTACTGTAATGCTGCGATTACAGTGCCAAATCCAGACGTTCGTGAATCTCACATATAGAAGATCCCATCTGGCCGAACCTGACAGGCACTAAAGCTGGCTGTGAATGTATCGTGGGATCGTACAAATGAAATTTGCACTCAGTCAGTGTGTCTTTGAGAGCTCACTGTCGTGTTTTCATGATCTCGGCCTTTCACATACATTTGAATACCTGGTTGACGTGTGGAGGTTCCAGTGTTGTCGATTCCTTTCGTGGATGCTTTGGCATGCTTTGAAATCCCCTTCTACAAATGAACACATAGGCCAGTGAAGAAAAAAAGCAAGCCTTTCCTCTGGCCACTCTTGTAGCTTCTCGTCATCCTGTACAACCACAATGTGAAAGCCTCGATGAAGACCAACCAGTAGAACGTCTACATGCAGATTTCTCCACGAGTTATCGATTAGTTCATCTGTAGGAAATAAAGATCTTTTAAATATAGTGTTTGTTTGGAGTGGTGTGTCACAGTCCTTGAAATGAAACATCTGATGAGTGACTGAATGATTACTATGTGCATCTAGGCTACTGTAGGATTTTTCTAGTACTCCCAGAATTATTTTAAGAATACCATATTTTAACCAGAACAAGATGTTTGTCATATCTAGTCATGTGTTTGATAAACCCACTCGCACTGAGCGGCAAACAGTGTTGCCAACTAATTTTCAGAGAAAGCTGCTAAAGGATGGTCGATTTGTTGCTAAAATTTGCATAATAGTTGTGATGTCATTTAGATGTAATCATCATCAAATCTCAGCAAAAAAAATATTTTATATGTTAATTTAGATGTGTTTGTAAAATAATATGCATGATATAATATTAAAATATAAATAACTGTATTTTTAAATACATTGAATTTTTGAATGATTTCAATTTAAGTTTTTTTAATAGCTAGTAAACTAGTAATTCTACGCATTCTCAACTAATATGCTTTAAGCAGTGTATTAGTAGTTAGTTAGTATGCTACACTCTAAGAAAAGTCTAAAAACAAGGCACAGTCTACTGTTAATATGAAAGAATTGTACGTAATGGTTTTTTTTACCTACATTTTAAATTACGCATAGTGTTTTCGGGTTACAGGGTTACAATGGATGATGGATACTGGATAATAAAGATTTTCCATTTTTCTTACAGTGTACTAACTGATCAATAATCGCAGGTACAAGCTACTAACAAAGTGTATCATAAATAAACAATTATTCAATTATCAAATTATTCAATTATTATTATTAAATTGAACAAATGCAAATAGCAGCTAACTCAATTCTCGTGATGTGTGTACTGCTAGGCATCTGTGGTTTCCTCTTTTGGTGTAATTTGGATGGAAAATGTGTGCCTTTTTATTGTCTCTTATCAAAGAGTCACTTATTAAAAGTTGCTAAAGGTTGCCAAATCAATTTTTAAAAGTGCTAAATTTGTTGCTAGGTGCTTTTGGAAGAAAAAGTTGCTAGGGTAGTCTGAAAAAATGCTCAATTTAGCAATAAAATTGCTAAGTTGGCCGGCAAATGTGTGCTCTCGCTAATTATTTTTCATTGGTAAACACGACTTAATCGGTGAATTTTGTCTTCGCTGTGATTGGTCCATCCTCTTTTCTGCTGAGAAATGTAACAGGCCCCACGTGACTAAGTCCATCTACTTCAGCGGTGCGCTGAACAATAATAGACATCTGTATAAATACATCTTAAAAAAGAAAGGTATTGAATTTAAATGAAACATTGAAGAATCACAATATAAGAAGCATTACTTAAACCCACCGCCTCTGCCCATTCTACCGTGTATTGTATTTCTGAAGTGTCCTCCTGTGCAGCAGGTGGCAGTAAAGCCTAATAAACACTAAAGACTGGAACTCGGGTGCTTACGAGGAAAACGGCAACAAATCTGACAACAAACGGAGAAAGTCTGCCTTTCAGCTTTTAAGAGACTGTTTTATTAATCGTCAGTTTTCCACAACACGGGAAAGGCTTCGGTTTATATCTCCAGGTAACTGTTTTGTTTTGTTTGTTTGTGAGTTAAGTTAAATCGAAAGATTTCAGCAGCGCCGAAACGCTCCCGTTAGAATCAAAGCCTGCTGTTTGACTCGTGTTGCGCTGTCTGCGCGAGCTATAGTAATACTCGATATTAATGTGCGTGTATGTGCTTGCTTGTCCTCAGCTCCGCATCATGTCCGCAGACCTGGATCTTTCTGCTCCGGAGGTTCCCGAGCCCGCTTTCTTCGAGAGTCTCCTGCGTTATGGATTATTTCTTGTTGCCATTTTCCAGCTCATCTGTATTTTAGCTCTAATCATACCCACAGCCAAGAGCCACGACCAGGTGCGGGTAACTTCCAGTGCCACAGACATCTCTGCTTCTCTGTCAAGTCGACCCAAAACCAGCCGGCATCACATCGTCTATTTTCCATTCTTGATATTTTGGTGACACCCCTTTTTTTCTGCATCGTGAATTATTTGTAGATTGTACGTACAGAAAATTATCTGTATTTTTGCATTTTTTTATTTATTTATTTTTACGACCATTTAGCTTTTTCGAATCAACTCCCCAATTTTTTTTGTTAGTTTTATATAAAAAAAAAATTCATAATTTTTTTTTGTAATCACATCCATACCTTTCCGTTAGTAGCGTACTAAAACATTTCAAAACATTTTTTTTCTGCTCTAAAATGACCGAACAACAGCAGAGAGTTGCACTACAAGTCAAAAGCGTTGCATTTTTTATTGTTTTATTTATTTATTTTTTATTTTTTATTTTATTTATTATATTTTACTGGTCAATTTTGAGATATTAAGTCTTTTTTCAGTCTAGTGGAAAGAAAATATCTATAATACACATTTAAGTGTTTCTTTTATTTCACTTTATCTATTTGTGCCTGTAGATTTAAATTAAAATACATCTTTAAAAGCCCTTTTCTTTAAATGATTTTCATCTCCACTTCAGCAGCACTAATATCAATTTTAGTTTTATTCCTACCTATATTCTGGAGGTGTTTACAGAGGAGTTTGTTCATATATCATTCCCCTGATATATATATATATATAACTTTTTTCCTAAAGACATTTTTTCCCTGTCTGTTTACAGTGTTTTCTGATTTATATCCCATATTCCCTCTGTAAAAACCTAATGAAAGATGAATTTTGAACCTGGCTTTATCCAGTGTTCAGATTTCTGATTTGGAAATGTGTGCATATTTAGTTAGATAATGGCTTACTTGCACATTTTAACAACATTGTAATGCAAAGCAATACTCTGATTAATCAGCTGGGGAAATATGATGAAATCTATTAGTTAAATGTTGACTCTGTTCACCTGTGGTCTTAAAATTTCAAATGAATTTGTGTTGTATTTCATAAACTCTAGGTGGAGCCGTCGGAGCCGGCTGATGCTCGCAGCTCTGAGCAGAACCGAAAGCCAAAGGGACCTGTTCAACAGATCCGACAGAAAGTGAAAAAGGAGAGCAAGAAGAAGAGATAGAGAGTGTGGACGGTGACTGCGTGTGCGTTTCTGATAAACTCACTAATGATAGATTCACTTACAGCATTAGAGGACGCGGATCGAACGAGAGCCTCAGCCGTTAGTTCATCTGCTCGGAGTTTGGATTTTGCCATGTCTTTCAAAACAGTGTTTTTTATATCAATTTATGTATGTATCATTGTTTTTGAGTAATCTTTGGTGTTATTTTTTATGCCAATTTTAAGTACATTCATCTGAATAAACTGATGACCATTTATTCTGCTCGTTTCTTTCTGTTGTGGTGATTATACTTTTTAGTAAACAATCCAAGCCTAATGCATGCAAGATATTTACAAATATATATTTTTTTAATCTTAAAATGGTTGTTCTTAGATCTTACATAGTGTTTCAAATAAGCGTTGTAACATAGTACTCACTATATATAATACATAATACAACTAGATTATTTTATTTTTATAAGCAAGTAAACTCTTATGAGAGAAAACTGTCAACATGATCAAAAAAAGATGCTACTTAAGTGTTAATAAATGGACAAATATAGTAAGATTTAGCAGTGTATGGTTTTATTTTATATATCAAGTGTTTGATTATTGAAAAGTTATACTACAGCTTGCAAACTTTAGCTTTTTACTTTAAATATTACACAGAGCAATGCTGTCAGGAAAAAAAAAAAACGTAACTATTTAAATTATTGCATTAGCAGTTAGATGGCCTAATATTAAAGTGAACTATTAACTACTAATCAGCATTCAGTCATATTATTATTATTATTATCTGCCAGTTTGCCAAAACCAAGTATTTTGGTTTGTTACTACTCGAGTTTGAACTGATATAAAATAAAGCAACAGCCACTTTAAAAGATTTTATTTTAAATGCACATCGATAAATATGTCTTACAAGGTGGATTTGTGATAAAAACATGATTTGAGAAAATAGGCATTATATATTTATATATATAAACAACAGTAAAGCACACTGATTTAATGTCGAACATGATCATACTGGTCACCCTTTTGTGTACAAATCATAGATATGAAAAACTAGCGATTTAAATAGATATCAATGCCAAGACGCCTTCATCTGCGTGATCTTGAGAGAGGATGACGATTTCTCTTCCACGATTGAAATCAGAGATTATTTTTATGAACAAGGTCCTTTCTTATAACAGCATTCACTGCAAGGAAAAATACAAACAAAATCATTAGTGGTGTTTACAGGGTTTCTGCCAGTCTTAATTCATCCTGCCACAATTTACGGCTTTAAAAAGGTCTGAAATCAAAGCAGAACGTCTTAAATTCATAAAGTCACGGCATTAAATGTTGCATACACTGCAAAAAATATCTTTTGTCAGTATTTTTTGTTTTCCAATGCAACTATCTGAAGTCCTAAAATCGAGATTCGTTTACATGAGATGCAGAAGGAAAATATATCTTGTTTTTTAAGAAACCAAACAAAATTAAGTGAGTTTATGCTTAAAATGTTTATGCTCAGTGAGGTATGAAAACTTGTGTCCTTTGAATTAGGTCTATTTTTGGAGCCCATTGGCAGCTATTTGTGCTTGTTTTAATCCTAAACTCAATTTTGATCAGTTTCACAGAAAACAAGACTGATCTTGTCATTTTGCTGCTAAAGTTCATGCATCTCGATTTAAGAATCTTTAGACATTTGCGCTGGAAAACGACGAAAATACTGATGCAGAACATCACTTTTTTTTTGGTAATGGAGACTGGATGTAAGTTGTATTTTTAAACTTTTACTATTTTTCGTTAATATTGTGTTCCCTAGACATTTAGAAGAAAATACAGTGTTGCCTTCAGTTTATTTCTGTACATTTTGTTTAAATTTACCTTCATAACACCTGCAGAAGCTCTGTGTTTGCTGAAGTGTGCATTACTATTACTATTGCTCAGCATTAGTGACAATCAAATCAAAGACTAAGTATTAAACTTCTGTTCCAGACATTACTAACATTGAATGGTGCAGCATCAACAGTGCACTGAGCATCCACTAGCTGGCAGCACAGGGTCTGACCCGCTCACCGCCATCCTCTGATGCTTTATTTGGTTGTGCTTCCTGCTGTTGTGCTGAGACAAGTTAGTGGGCTAAAAATGGAAAGTTTTCAGTCTAAAATTAGATTAGGGGACACGAGGGGTAGCGTTTACAGGTATAATCAGCCTGAAATAGAATCTGGAGCGTGGGTGTGATTCTTTGTAATGCCCACGCAGCCACCGCAAATAAAAACCCATCTACATCTGCGGTGTGATGTTATTAAAATATGGCTCACGATATCAACTACACCAGGTCTTACGTGCGTGAAGAGCACGTTTAGTTTATTCTCCAGCGCTTTTGTGATTGAATGCTTTCCTGAGAGATCGATAGTGTGTCCTGTTTGTCCCTGTGTGTGTTTTAGGTCTGTTAGAGCTCAATATTTAACAGGCTCTGGCAGAACCGAAGCACTGACCCACATAGAGCCGCCTGATAAGAGCCGCATACATTAAACACACTGATTCGACAACTACTGCACACACACACATAACTGACATGTGCTGTACGTCTGGTAACCATGTTATCATTTAGTTTTATAGTTTAATATTAACTGATAAATAACAAAGCATATCTAACAATTCAATGAAAATCAAAACTAAAATTTTGTCTAAAAATATACTTTTTCTTAGTCTTGAAGTCAAAAAATGTATATGTAATTACTTTTGTCGTCTGTTGCTGTTGTACAAGCAGGAAGTGGCGGTCGGTCGGTGTGGTATTTGTCCCACCCCATCCTCCACTGTGATTGGACGGCTGGGTAAAAAGTGACAGTGGTCAACTCTCGGCGCCGAGAAACACTCAGCACCTCGTCACACTCCTGTCGTTTTAAAAAACGCGGCGTTTTCGTTGAAAAAAATACACTAGCCTCGGGGAAAAAAGTAATTGTAACTCCATAAAAACGTAACTGTAATCTGATTATGAGCATTTTAGAATGTACATAATATAATCTAATTACAAGTGCATTTTTGGAATCTGATTACGTAATCCAGATTGCATGTAATCAGTTACTACCCAGCTCTGTTAAGCATAACAGTATGTATACTGGACGAATGATGAGAGTACAAACCATCATCCAGATAGGCCTGATCCAGGTTCTCCTGCTTGATGGTGACTCTCACAGGACTGACGTTTCTCTGGTGCTGCACTGGCAGGTATGTCTGCTGATGGCTGCGGGCCGGAGGGGATCTCCCTGTGGTTGGGGATGTCCTCGAGCCATACGCCTTCTGATGGGCCGCAGCGGAGCAGAGCTCTGAGACATCGAGGGTGGGAAACAGAGAGGCGGTCGTTTGGATGCTGTTACCTGCTATGGTGTGCTGGTAGGTGTTTGGCACAAATGTAGACACAGAGGTGGCGCTGTGTGAGGCCGCCACGCAGGAAGCATGAGCCGGGGAGCCGGCGAAAACTCCTGGCACCGTGTGATCCAGCGGGTAGCGGATGGGTGTGTGTTGTGGGGCAGCAGTGTACATGCAGTGAGCTCGCTGGTACGGCGGGCCGATCGGCATCATGCAACCGTCCGCAAGATGGCAAGAGGGAGGAGAGACGCCCATGATGGGACGGCCAGTACAGTCTAACTGTGCATACTGGTATTCTTCAACCGGCTCCGCTTTAATCTGTGGCACTGGAGAGGAAATCCAAAAACATTACATCAGCTTTAAAACACAAAACTAGTGAATTTGTTGTGAAAGTGACTGAAGGTTTCACCTGAGAGGGGCGTGTAGGTGAAGTTTTGAGGCTGGCTGCATTTCTTCTTCCCATTCAGCACGTGAAATTTGACTTTGACTGGGTGGTAGATGTTGGGGTCTCGATACGGAGGGATTTCCAAGAACAGCAGGTTCTGACAGGAACACAGCTTACATTCAACTTTTGAACAGCTTTATTGAAGGCTATGTATTTCTTTGCTCTCCAAACAGTCTGAAGTACTTACAGACGTGCATTTGTCTCTGTAAACTTTCGCCTCAGCCTCCCATATCTGCAAGTCAACTAAAACAATGAAACAGTCATTTGAATGCTGGAAAAAAGCATGCATGTGTACGTACCATAAATAATATTTCAAACAAAAGATGATCTATTATATTCTTAATGAATAACAGCATATTAGAATGATTTCTGAAGATCATGTGACACTGAAGACTGGAGTAATGATGCTGAAAATTCAGCTTTGATCACAGGAATAAATTACATTTTACAATATATTCAAATAGAAAACAGTTATTTAAAATTTTAATAATATTTCACAATATTACTGTTTTTACTGTATTTTTGATCAAATAAATGCAGCCTTTCTATCAAAAACATAAAAAAATCCTACTGACCCAAACTTTTGAAAGGTAGGGTACTTTATTTAAACTTAGAACTAATTTACATCCGTTCACAAACACACACCCATGTGCATTGTCACTATTTAATGTTGGAAGCCACAACAAATATCTGGTCTGTGACTTCTACATGAGCAACAGAGAGAAAGTTTCATGCATAGTGGATGAAACTCCCACTCTCCTGCTGTGTTACTTCTGCTCTGCAACCATCAGAGTACAGGAAAGGAAAGAGACTCTGTGCTTGTAGATGCTATCTGTGCAGAGCACAACCACATCCTCTCGCACCGCACTGCACACCTAAATGGAAAGTGCAGCTAAAACTTTGCTTGCGTCAGAAAGTGTAGGCTGTTTCTATAGCATGTCAGTGTGAGTCACGGCTGATATATGCTATTGTCTTCAAGTTTCACTCAACCTCTGCTGGACGCTGCCATTCAAAATATTCTTGAGGTTTTGGATTATCTCTGGTGCTTCCACAAATAATTTAATAATTGGTTTTGCATCTGCCACTTTAATTTCATTTGATTTGTAACTCTATTTTATTTTCATGCTCCACTTCCACATCTATTTGAATGTTTATGTAGATACACCATGTACTGTAAAGCACTTTGCAAACATTGTTTTAAAAAATGCTACATCAGTAAAGTTAAACTTTTTAATAGTCTTGTCTTTATGTAGACTATCAAATAATATCTCATTATTCAATGTGCATGCACAATAATTATAAAGTAATGAGTAAATTATTAAAAGTAGTTTTAGCAATTAGACACGACAACTCCCCAAAAGTATTTAATTTCAACTACCAATAAACAGGTGTTTGGTATAGAATGAATGTCTTGACGTTATGCATAGCACGTAGGTGTTGGTACTGAGGTTTCTGATGTCTTTAAACACTGACAGACAAACTGGCGGCTATGTATATGTGTGTGTGTTTATGCAAGCTTTG